GATGGTATGATTTTTATTTTTGTGTGTGTGACTAGAATCAAGGGAATGCAAATTGCACCTATAAAGAGACAACACTTAAATCCCATCAGAATACCAAGAATTTAAAATAACTGATAATGCCAAGTGTTGACAAGGATGCAGACCACTATTTGTGATTCACAGTCTCTTTGGGAAAACTGTTCTGCATCTATAAAATTTGAACAAGTTCATACTCTATGACCCAGCAATTACATTCCTAAGCAAATATCCAACATAAATTTATATGTATGCTGAAAGACATTCAAGAATGTTCAGGGCAATATCATTTGTAACAGCTTCTAACTGGAAACATTTTAAACTGTAAAGAATTGAGTGAATAAACAAATTGTAGTGTATTTATACAATGGAATAACACACAACAATGAGGACGACACCTCTATACTCAACAATCAGGATGAACATAATGTTGAGCCATATAACTCACATACAGAATATTACATGGTTTATAATTTCATTTATATAGAATTCAAAAACCAAAAAAATTATTCTGTGGTGTTAAAATTCAGGGCAGTTAATATTTTTTGAGGATGGAGAGGATACGGCTTGGGAGAGACATGATGTTGTTTTCTGGTGTTTCCTAGTTTGGGGGTATTTTGTTTATTGTTTTTTGCTTTGAGACAGGGTCTCACTCTTTCTCCAAGGTTGCATTGCCGTGGCAAAATCACAGATCACTGCAGCCTTGACTGTCCAGGCCCAGAGGATTGTCCCACTTCAGCCTCCTGAATAGCTGGAACTACAGGTGTGTGCCACCACGCCCAGCTAATTTTTGTAGAGATGGGGTTTTGCCATGTTGCTCAGGCTGGTCTTGAACTCCTGGGCTCAAGCAATCTGACTACTTCTGCCTTCTAACGTGCTAGGATTACAGGCATGAGCCACCACACCCAGTCTGGTGTTTTCTAGCGATGTTTAATTTCTTAACTTAGTTGGTATTTATATGGATGTGTTCCCTTTGTGATAATCCAGTGAAATGTACTTTTATGATTTGTATACTTTTCTGAGTGTATAATTCAATAAACATGTTTATTGGAAAAAATAGCTAAAAACAGTAAGGTATGAACAAAAGATATTACAGACATTGTATTTTGGGGGTATTATTGTATAATCTGGTATGGGTGGGCTCACAAGTTTAGTTGTAACACATACACATGGAATTTTCTTTAAGAAAACCGAAAATGAAGAAATCCACATTTACAAAACAAGTAAACCAAGAGGAGTGTTATTTATGTAATACTGAATACGTCTTTTAAGGAGTTCTTCTCTTTCTTCATGCGCTAACATATATTTTTCTTTTCTTTTTTTTTTTTTTTTTGAGACAGAGTCTTGCTCTGTAGCCCGGGCTGGAGTGCGGTGGCCGGATCTCAGCTCACTGCAAGCTCCGCCTCCCGGGTTTAGGCCATTCTCCTGCCTCAGCCTCCGGAGTAGCTGGGACTACAGGTGCCCGCCACCTCGCCCGGCTAGTTTTTTGTATTTTTAGTAGAGACGGGGTTTCACGGTGTTAGCCAGGATGGTCTCGATCTCCTGACCTCGTGATCCGCCCGTCTCGGCCTCCCAAAGTGCTGGGATTACAGGCTTGAGCCACCGCGCCCGGCCCATATATTTTTCAATTATTTTATTCCAATACTCGGGAGGAAATAAATTATGTAATTTTTTTCTTTTTTTTGAGACAGGGTGTCACTCCCATTGCCTAGGCTGGAGTGCAGTAGTGCAATCATGACTGACTGCAGCCTTGACTTCCTGGATTCAGGTGATTCTCCCACCTCAGCATCCTGGGTAGCTGGGATTACAGGCACATGCTGGCTGGCTAATTTTTTTCAGTAGATGTAAGGTTTCACTATGTTGTCCAGGCTGGTCTCAAACTAAGCTGGGATTACAGGCACATGCTGGCTGGCTAATTCTTTGTTTTTTTTTGTTTTTTTTGTTTTTTTTTTTTTTTTTTTTGTTTTTTTAGTAGAGGCAGGCAGGGTTTCACCGTGTTGTCCAGGCTGGTCTCAAACTCCTGGGGTCAAGAGATCTGCCCTCCTCCATCTCCCAAAGTGTTAGGATTACAGATGTGAGCCACCACACCCAACTTCTATTGTGTAATTTTAAAAAGCGAATTAAGTATTGCACCTTCCATTTCACCTCTGTATCTTTTCCCTGAATGTTATTCTTATGAGACTCAAATGGCACTATCATCACTGTCTTTAGTACCATCATTATTCCATTTACTGGTTGTACAAGTCTCAGAGGTAAAGAAGGCAGTTATCAGTCTCACATTCTGCATAAGCAAACAAACTCAAAGTGGCCAAGAGATTTTCCTAATACTCCATTGCTCATAGGAGGTGAAGCTGTGCCCTAGTCCAGCATTGTCTCTTCAGTAGCCCTTGAATATGTCAGATTACTTGGTTGCAAGCTACAGAGACCAACTTGGGTCATCCTAAGACAAGTAAAGAAAGAGAGAGAGAGAGAGAGAGAAAGAAAGAGAGAGGGACAGAAATCAAGAAAGAAACAAGGAAAGAAAAAGAAAAGAGGCCAAGCGCGGTGACTCACGCCTGTAATCCCAGCACTTTGGGAGGCCGAGGCGGGCGGATCACAAGGTCAGGAGATCGAGACCACGGTGAAACCCCGTCTCTACTAAAAATACAAAAAATTAGCCGGGCGCGGTGGCGGGTGCCTGTAGTCCCAGCTACTCAGGAGGCTGAAGCGGAGAACGGAGTGAACCCGGGAGGCGGAACTTGCAGTGAGCTGGGATCGCGCAACTGCACTCCAGCCTGGGGACAGAGTGAGACTCCGTCTGAAAAAAAAAAAAAGAAAAAAAAAAAGAAATGAAAGAAAGGAAAAGAAAGAAGAGAAACAGAGAAAAAGAGGGAGGATAGGAGAGAGGAAGGGAGGAAGCAGGGGGGGAAGTGGGAATATGTTGGAAGCATACCAGGGGCTAAAGTATTAACAAGAGGCTGTCTTGGAATAGTGGCAGTTACCAGGCAGCTGCAGAGGCTTGGCATCAGAAATGATGATGCCGAAGCCATCTGGTCTTTGCGTAGCTGCTGGGATGAGTCTGAAATCCAAAAATATGTTTTCCTTGTTCAGGATTCAAATTTCCAGGAAGGAGGTCTGACAGGCTGACTCCCTGGCTATACTAAAAGGCCAGGTAGGATTTAGGTCCCTTCATTCCTGGGAGGAGGCAGTCAGGATTAGAGAACATCTCAAATGGAATTTTATAGTGAAAGACTTCCCTCAAAGGAAAATTAGGGTGCTCACTGTAGTCAGTTGTTGGATGCCAGAGAGCTGAAAAACATGGCAAACCTCTTCTATGATACTCGTCCATGCACTGGAGAAAAAGCCAAACAGGTGATCATGTTAGCAGCTGGAATCATGATCAATGTGAAAGTCTGAGATTCTGAAGACATTCAGGGTTGAGCCAATCTGTTAGCTCCTGCTGCCTTTGCAGCCCTTGTGGTAGAATGGAGTCGTGTTACTTTAAACCAGGCCCAACACTTGGTTTCCAGACTGAGTTGATTCTCAACCTTAACTAGTAAGACTCAAAATAAGACATGCCAATTATTCTAAAGACTCAACAGGGTGAAAAAACGAACAACAACAGAAAGGCTAAAGGGCATCTAAGAGGATATGCAATAGCAATCACCAACACAATAGCAAGCAGAGAAGTGAAGGCTGCGGCCCAGTGTAGCGGCTGGAATAGTTAGAAAAACAGGTAGAATTTTAAGGGAGTGCATTAGTTACTAGGGCTGCCATAACAAAGGGCCATACACTGATTGGCTTACAAAGATCTTTATTGTCTTGCAATTCTGGAGGCTGAATTCGAAGATCAAGGTGTCAGCAGGGCTGGGCCCTGCTGAGGGCTCTGAGGGAGGGTCTGCTCCATGCCTCTCTCCTGGCTTTTGGTGGTTTGCTGGCAATCTTTGGTGTTCCTTGGCCTGTAGGTGCATCACCCCAATCTCTGCCTTCATGCTCACATGATGTCCTCCCTGCCTGTGTCTCTGGGTTCAGGTTTCCCTTTTGTATAAGTATACCAGTCATACTGGATTAAGGCCCAATCCTAACGACCTCATTTTAATTTAATTACCTTTAAAGACCCTATTAGCAGGTAAGGTCACATTCTAAGGTACTGTTAGGCTTTAAACATATCCATTTGGAGGACACAATTCGAACTACAAAAGGGAGGATGCTTCTTATTGGTCAAGAGTCATACCTTTTAGTTTCCCTTTGTCTGGGGACCAATAGGCACGTTCAACACTGCAACATATGTAGGAGCAATTCAGTTTGTGAGAAGGTCAGTGAGTTTACGATGCCCAAATGACAATGCCAAGACTGCAGATACAATGTCCTGAAGTCTGACCTTTATTAACTCTGCTAAGGTCCTAGTTTTCATGTTTACTACAAAGTATAAAGTCTTTTTCTAGGAAAGTGTTGACTGTGACATGTTGTTCCACACACTTACTTTATTTAGAGGTTTAATTTCTTTCATTTCAATCTTAATTTTCCAAAACTTACTGAGAATTTTGCTTTTATTAATAATTTCTATACCTTTTAAGTATGATATCACTGGTAAAGAGGTATTATTAGAATTATAGAATAGGTATTATGATTTAATAAAACTCTTAATATTTATTAAACAATTGTGTGCCAGGAACATAAAAAGCTCTTCATATAGATTATCCCATTTAATTCTTGAATGATTCTTATTTTACTCATGAGAAAGCTGAGGCTATGGAAGGTTCCGTGAATTTCTCAAGGTGTCTTACAATGAGGGGAAAATTTGGACTCAGGCTGATTCTAGAGTCTGGGTGTCATCACTATACAGTACAGTTTTGAAATAGTTTCCATAATTTGAGATGATCCAAAAATTTGCCTTTTGACTCCTCACAAACCAGGATCTTTTTTATTCCTAACTAAAAACTATCTGAAATATTTGCTGTGTGGTAACAGCAATATTGTGATCAACTGTTCTGCAGTTCTGGAGCCGTCTGTGGGAGGAAGAGTGGAGGAGGAGGCAGGGGAAGAAGGAAGGAGGAAGGGCTGTACTAGGTCACCGGTGAACGTTCTCAGCACACACAGAACTGCAGGGCTGCCCTCCTTCCCAGCTCCTCCCAGAAACAGACAGGTGGGACAGAAGAAATCCTCAGTGTTGGAAGCTGACCACTAAAACCTGGCTAGAGAGAGCCAGGGTACTCAGGACTTGGGGAAGAGTTGAAGTATAATGTTGGAGAAAGACCTTATGGGGAGCCTCACTTGACTAGAAGAAGAATTAATTTTTCCTTGGACCCAGGTAAGCACTCTTTTGGGTTATGTGACGCAAGACATTCATGCTAAGAGATGAATTTGTCTCCACCTGGCATGCACTGCATGGCATTAGATTTCCATTGATTTAAAGGGGAAGACACAGCTGCCTCAAATAACAAACATTCATATTCTGCAGCTGGTAGTGGATGAAAAAAACCTGCATTTTTTTCTTTTCAATATCTGGAGAGAGTCAGGGGAGGGAAGGCGGGATATATTATCCTTTGGTGAGCTTTATCTTCTGAGTGCCTCAGGCCTTACCCTGGAAATACTCCACAATGCACAGGGGTGCAGAAGAATTAATGTTGCCATCAGTAACACTTTGTTTTTGGAAACTCTCTATGTCAAAAAGCTTCAGCTTCCAAGAGTTTTGGCTACTTTCTTAATTATCTTTGCATCTGAGCAAATGTTTTCCCTCCTCTTCTAAAGGGAAGGTAATTTGCTCTTTTTCTCTCTTTTTCCCTGAATGTTTGCAAATACTAAGGCCTTTAGCAGGTTTTGGATAGACTTGAGAGCTATAAAACCAAATCCATTGCAATCTTATAATCTTATTTGTTTCTTCCAGGAATCTGCTGAGGTGTTCACAGCCGCCTGCGCCTGCCATGTCAGATAGTAAAAGTGGTGTGATGATGACCAAGTTGGACGGTGAGTGGAAGATTCTCGACACCAGGTACTGCCCAGCCAGCAAGACATAGGCTTCTCTCACGGCAGCAGAAAGTTGTTCTGTAGGCCAATAGCGAGGCTGAGAAATGGCCTGATGCAAAAGAAGCCAGTCTTGACTGCACTCCAGCTCTGCCTACCAAGTCAGGGCCAGGAGGCCCACGAACACTCCCTCACTGCTGACACCACAGAGCTGAGCTTCACAAAGCACTCCCTGTTGGCTCTGCTTTTAGACCTCCCACAACTACAGATAAAACAGAGGGAGATTAACATGCCTTAGAAACTAAGCAAATAACTTAAGGGATAATATTTAAACATGCTCATATATCTAGATCTTGATCTTCCTTTATTCAATTTCATGGTAATGCAAATATAACAGCTTGAGATATTTTTAGTCCTGTGCAGTGTATGCTAAAATAGTGTCTGGCTTTTCTAGATTTCAAGGTCTGAATCTTATTTAGCTATCAATTCAATTAGCTATCAATTCAATTAGCAGAATCTTATTTAGCTATCGATTCAATTGCCAAATAACTTACATGTGGAGAGGGTGTGGGGGGGGAACGCCACGCCACAGCTACACTGATTTGGGAGGGCATTATATGGTTAAGTGTTCATAAACTAAAACCACATTTTCTTCCTCCACTCAAGGGTTCCTTGGTGATCTTATGTAAGTCCAAAGAGGGAAGTTTCATCATACTGAAAACAAGAGATAGTGTGAGACTTAATGAGTATTTCTTGCGAATCGTCAACCTTACATTTTAAATTGGAAATGCCTCTGTATTCTATTAGGCTAACAGAAAAGTGTCAAACATTTATGTTATGATATTCAAAAGGAAGCACTTTCAAGTTATTAGATAGGAGGTGTTAGGTACTTAGAGTATCACCAATTTTCCAATAGATTCTTTTATTATCTTTACACGATGACATTATTTCAGAAAAAAAGAAAAAAGGGAAAAAACAAGACTCCAGATATTTGAATTACTTTTATGCTGACCTCTGAACTGAAACTATTGAAGTGATTTCCATTCTGGAAACCAGTTAAATGGAAATAATTTCAAAATATTATACGTTCAGACCAGGTGGCGGTGGCTCATGCCTGTAATCCCAGCACTTTGGGAGGCCAGTGTGGGTGGATCACCTGATGAGTGATGAATTTGAGACCAACCTGGTCAACATGGCGAAACTCTGTCTCTACTAAAAATACAAAATTACCTGGGTGTGGTGGCGCACCCCTGTAATCCCAGCTACTTGGGAGACTGAGGCAAGAGAATTGCTTGAACCTGGGAACCTGGGAGGTGGAGTTTGCAGTGAGCCGAGATTACGCCATTGCACTCCAGCCTGGGAGACAGCGTGAGACTCTGTCTCAAAAAAAAAAAAAAGATTATACATTCAGAAAATGCCATTCCTAAACTCTGGAAAATGAGAGCGCTTTGAACAGCTACAAGGGTGGGTCTTTTCCTGCTCCTTTTTCTCCCTACTTGGTTTATGTTCAAGTTGAGGAACCACATGACTCCACAAAGGGTGATACAGAAATGAAAAAACAAAACACCACACACAAAGAAATATAGGGACAGAGAAATGCTCAATAGTGAACTATGAGGGGGTACACGTTGGTAACGTGCTATTTGTTCTCTCTGCCCTGTCTCCTAACCCTCCCCTAACTCCTGCTCACTGGTAGAAGGCACTCTCTTTCTCTGCTTTCTAAATGTTTCCTTCTGCTGCATGAAAAGGCTTCTCTCTTAACAGTTTACATGTCATCTCAAAAACAACCATTTCTAAGTTCCCAGCATTTTGATCCTTTCATTCCCTAAGCAAAAGTTCCCAATAATGTTACTAGTTTTGAGACCCACTGCATGGAGGTATTAACTATTGGGAAATTCCCTGTAGAGTGCATATAAATTCTTAAAGAGAAATCTCACAGCCACAGCCTTTGGTACACATTACTTAATACCCTTTGCCTTGGGCATGTTAGGGACAGGGATATTGATGGCAGATTGGGAAATACTGCACAGATGCAATAAGGACCAATGTGCTTTCTCTGGGAGTCCCTATTTCTAGACTAGAGAGGGTAATTCAGTGCCTAATTAAAAGGCTGAAAAGACACAAAGGAAACAGACTTCAGAGACTTTTCAGAGAACAATTCCTTAGAAGCTCCTAGAAGACTAGCTACCAAATTTATAATGGTGTCATCAAAACATTTGATCTCTGGCACTGTATCTTTCAGAAATGCAGCTGCCTTAACAGAGAGCTGGCTGGGCACTTGGCAGCTATTTTTTTATGTGCTGCCAAAGGTAAGAGTTTGCCATTGCTAGTAATTATAAATTATAAACCGGCAGCCAAATGGGAGCAATTATGAAAAGTGACCTATGAGCCAGTTTTTATAAAGTCATCAAAATAAGTAAGGAAAATTATTTTTCGAATAAATAAAACAAGTTTAATCTTATATGTGTGTCATTAAGAAAGTCAGTGATGGAATATATGAAGAACAAAGGAGTCAGGCAGCAAACCATAAGCACTCAATCACATACAGTATGACTCAACTCCAATGTTTCACTTCCTGGTTTAGGGAGATCGGGTTTCTTGAAGGAAGTGTAAAGGCCAGATATATCGAAGGTAAGATGCAGTCATTTAGGGGGACAATTTCTATAGGAAGGGAGGTTGATATCATGATTATTTAGCATCTGCTGTTCATCAAGCACTAGATATTTCTAGCATTTTCCATCTCTGATCTCAGGTACTGGTCTCAGTAACTCTATGAAGGTGGTGTAATTATCCTCATATTTCAGATGCTCATTGGGCAGGTAAAGTAAATGTTACAATGTCTCGCAGACTGTAAGTTGACTTCAGAGAGTCCCTTCTGAAGTTTGATCCCAGTTCCAAAGCCCACGCGTCTCTCTGTTGCTTCTCATCTAGGTGACCTTCAAGGTCACCCAATAAAGAGGAAATGACATCCAATAGGGCTGCCCACCCAAACTGTAAATGAATGGAAGGAAAAATCCCACTGCCGGCTACGAGAAGGAGTATATTAATTCCACCCTCCTACCTTTAACTCAACCAAATCCCCTGCAACAATCTCCTGACCGTTCTGAGTGTTTGCTCACCCAATCTGTGGAATTCAACTGACAAATCCAGTTTCATCCTCTTCTCTGACCTTATTTAGTGACCTTATTAGACTGACCTTATTAGACTCGGAGTCACTGCCTAATGCCTCCTCACCTTCCTAGCTCCTTCTGGCCACACCTCTCTAGTTTCTCCTCTGTGTGCTGCCTTTGACAGGATTCTGCGATTCTGATTCTTGTGTTTTAGCTTTTGTCTTCTACTTGTACCTGTGGAACCTGTGGGCCAAGCCCGCTCACCACAGAGACCTCTCATGGGAAGGACACTACATTAAGCTCAGAGAAGTACGTTTAATCATTAGTAACTATATTGGGACATTTTTCTTAACATTGTTAAGTCATTGCTTTTAAGGCTGTTAAAACCATTTTAATGTTTTTGGGTTTTTTGGTAAATCAGTAAATTTCATTCTTGGCCATTTCGATCACTTGGTGAATTACTTGTTTTCCTCATTTCCTAACTGGAAACTAGGAGTAATTACTGGACAAGGCTCAACTCAGCAGTTGGCTTTCTTTTCTGGAACTTTGTTCTACTTCCTAGAAATAGAGGTGGAAGTCCTGAGAGTCAGACCCTAGAGGGGTCTCATGGCTTTCATGAGGCATGAAAGTCATTCTGTTTTGGTGGCTGGTGAGATGTGGGTAGAACTTCCTATAATCAAGCAGCATCTGGACGGTTTTGGTTGGAACGAGGTCCTCCTGTTATTTTAGCCTGGAATGGTGCTTGCAGTTCATCTCTCTCCAACTGGTGCAGGAAGAACAAAGGAGAGGCATTTTAAATCATGGATTTTCCTTCCCTTACAAAGGTCTTGGATTAATCTAAGAAAGAACAGTTTTAAAAAGATGGCTTAACAAGTTTTAGAAAAATGTCTATAATAGTTATGATGATTAAACATATTCTTCTGAACATAGTTTTCTGAACAATAGTTAGCATGTCAAATGAAAAATTTTCAGTTTATACTGATTTTTGTTTCAAAATAATAAACATAATTTTCAGTTTGTTAACACTTAGGGTCTAAATTTTAGTACTTTTCAGACTTCTAACTAGCTTTTTAATATTTCCTTTACAATTTTACATTGATTCTGAGTATATATCAAATTATTTTGATGTACAAGACATTTCATCCATTAAACTATTCCCTTCTAAACATCCTTGCTTCCTTTCCACTGATTTGAGCAGGGTTATAGTTTTAAGTTGAAATTTTCTGCACACTGCTACCCATCTTTCTGTTTATGAATTTGTTAGAAACCAAAATGCCGGGATTTTATCTTTGATTAGGACCCCTGGTTAATTGTGATTTATATCGCATGCTCTTTAAATTTAAATTTTTAATTTAATAAACATTCAATTTAATTTTAATTGAAATTTGAATCATCTGTATATTAACATTTAAATTAGTTAAATTAGAAATCTCTTGCTAAAAATGTAAATTAAGGCTGCTATGCCATTTGAAGAATTGGTGAAATAATACTAAATGTGCTCTTGCTCTCATGACCCCTACAGCGGGATGCCTTGAACTAGACTTCAGCGTATGCTGAATGTTTACGTTTTGGAAAAAATAATTTCATTATAACACCACGAAACACCGTCTCTACTAAAAATACAAAAAATTAGCCGAGTATGGTGGCTCGCGCCTGTGGTCCCAGCTATTCAGGAGACTGAGGCAAGAGAATCGCTTGAACCTGGGAAGCAGAGGTTGCAGTGAGCAGAGATCATGCCACTGCACTCCAGCCTGGGTGACAGAGTGATACTTTGTCTCATAAATAAATAAATGAATAAATAAAGCATTTGAAAAAATCAGTAGTCACATAATGAATGCCAAAATTTTGGATGGAAAAAGTGGTTCAGAGTGACATTTTCAGTAAATATAGGAT